AATTTCATACTTTTCTAATAAGTTTTGCCTTCACTATAGCTTTTCATAATTCCAAATTTAAAAGAATAAATTAAAAATGTGGTTTCAGTTATTGAAAATAATTTACTTTTATCTGCCCTGAACTCCAATTAAAATATTGCTTTGCTATAAACCAACAGCATAAAAAAAAATTAATGCATAGCTTTCATATATTTTTTTTAATTATCCAAAGTCGGTCCTATTAGACTGACTCTCTTCTGTGTCACCAAAGCACTATCACATGACATTTAACTAGATTTAACTAGATGTTAGTAGACTTACCTAAATCACCATTTATAATTAAACAATTACAAAGAATTCAAGGAATATCGTACTTCGACATTGACTGAAGATCTACATAAAACTAAACGTGGATGACTGAAGGATGTCTAGACTAACTGCAGGATGAAGAAGGACGCATGGTAGGACATGAATGTGGAGGTAACTGCATACTACATTATCAGGCTCTAATCAAAGACTTGCTTCAATAAAGTCAGTACATATTTAATACTGATTTTAAGTAGATAGAAGGGATAACATTTTAAGTGTGAAAACTGCACTGTGGGGTAATACAGATGCTTTTGCATTCCCTTCAAAACATTTTTTTAAAACAACAGAGAGAATTCAGTAAGGATTGTTCAAAATCACTTAAGAAAGATGTGGAAGAGGAAGAACAACAAGAAAATCAATGAAACTTAGGTCTGATCGGATAGTAACTACATAATGTTATTTTTAAGGTGAGAACTAAAAAAGGGAAAGTCTGGTTTAAATATTTGTTCCTCAGCCCACTCACATTTTACCCTCTAAATGTCGATCCTAAAGCACAGGAATTCACTATAGAAAAACACCTCAGCTGAATGAATAACAAACAGAAAGGATGAGTAAGCTTCTTAACAAACGGAACTCTGTACAATCCAAAGTATGCTTGGGAGCATTTAACAACTTCAAAATTATGAATAAGAACCAAAGCACTCAAAAATCAGAAATGAAATTAAAACCAAGCACTCAACACTGTCTGAACTTTCTATCTCAACCATAAGCCTTTAAAGTACATGTTCTAAATTACGGATTCTCTACAGTTTTCCAATACCTAAAGTACAAAAAGTGCAACTTTTCACACAACCTGAGAAAAGTAAATCACAGTGTAGCACAGAAACAACGCAGAAGGCTGTTGCATTTAGCTTAGTAAAATCTGCAAAGTAAACAGGGTTTTAGAAACTTCAGCATTTGTAAGGTTAAGACAATTTCAATTTCCAAAGGTTTGAACTGAAATCTACACAAATTCAAGGCAGCTCACAGAAGATTTGGGGTATTCTAACTTTTGAACTTTATGCAATGCAGGTCACCTTGCAAACAAATAAACAAATGACACTACATAAGAAGAAAGAGGCTACAACACTAAAATCACAGAAAGGGCCTGAAAGATGCCTTTGCCCTATGAAATATAGCCCTAGCTACATGGTCAGCAGAAACCCTGGCATGTGATCTGTGTGATGACAACATTATACTAATGAATGGAGGGAATAGCATATCCCAGTGGGCATATCTCATCTTCCTATCTGCTGGTACCAACCTGAGCTTACTTCTTGAAGCAAGTATGCTGTAGCTATGATTGAGTACGCCTTGACATGTCCCTCAAATTTCAATCCTGCAACAGTATAGCCATGGAAATATAAGCTGAGAACCCAAGAGATTTTAAAGTGGGGGGAAAAAAGGGAGAGCAGATGGGTTGATATGTATGTGTCCAATGAAACATTCAAGCGGATACAATTTTCTAAGGTGTTTTGACTCTTTTAAAGAAAAAATAGTAGGGAAACTTTCTGGCCTTCACTAAACTGAATGATGCGCATCATATGGAAGCACTTCTCTAAACAACTATTGAAAGAATTTCTGGCTTAAGGTCAAATGGAAATAGGTTGTGTGACTTTCATGATACATTCGCATCTCTAATATGAAGTTTCCTAATTTTATGACATAAAAACCCCCTATCATAAGAAACAAATATGGACTGTATGTACCAAGTATGGTATATTCCTGGCAAAACAAATCACACAAAACTAAATTAGTCTCATAAATTGTGAGAAGAATAACATAACAGATTACCGATTACATCAGATTTGTGAATTTGTTTACAGTCCACTTCTTAAATTCTCCCTTTTTTGTAAATAAGCATCATATATTTAAATAGCATGTTTTATACAACACACCAGCAACTGAAACTACCAGACCTATGCCAAAAGAAAAATAATTGAGAGGTACTCCAGTTTAATCTGGAGAGTAAAGAAGCTGCCTTTAAGAGTGTATTGTTATGTTGATTCAAAACTAGAGATCTAGGAATATATACCTTATGGCAAAGACAGACACAGTAGACCTTTTGTATTCCAGTAACAAAACGTGCTGTCATCTCTGTAACTGAGAACAATCCAGCGTCAAACTACAAATTGTCTAAAATTCCCTATCACCAGGCACATTACATCAATGCCTACCTGCATACATAGACTCATACACACAGGCAAATACATTTTTGTGACGATGGCATTGCTCAAACCCACTGAAAACAGGAACTCAAGCTGGTAGAATCCCCAGTTGCTCTACACCCTGCCTGGAATTCACAGGGAAGTTTAACAGCGTTAGCAAGGATGAATGCAGAAATCAATCTCCAGTGCTGCATCTTGCACCCTGAAAGTCAGATCCCATTATAATCAAAAGTCAGATCCCAATATAATCAAATATAAATTGTGAGAAGTTAAATAAACCTGAACTGGGAACATGGCGAAGAGAAAGTGTAAACTGACAAAAATTCACAAATTGTGCCAGCACCATCCATTTTAATACTCCACATAAGCACAACTGCAACAAAAGCTAAATTGGAGAACAGCATCATATACAGTCATATGAGTGTCTAAGCTATCTTTAAAGCTAAAAATACAGACAGTGAAGTGTCTAACAGGCAATGAACTAGTGACTAAATATCACACCTAGCTGACTTGGTGTTCATGCATTTACTCAGCCTTTTTGTACAAATAAGTGAAAATTTGACTCAGCAAAGATATAGTATGTTAGAAAATGTCAAAAGCTGTAAGAATTACAAAAATACATAGGTTGTTGGAATGACTTAACATAGATTTGACAACCTATGTACTTCTGTAATTGTAAATGTACTTATGTCATCAAGTATCTGCACTTGTAGTGCTAAAAGGTGCCTTTACAGTGTTTCACATCCCTCTTCAGATTATTTAATATACTGTGAAACTTTACTCCTTTATCACATTTTCTCAAAAGATGCCAAATTATCATTTCTAACAGAGGAGAAAAAGAGACTTCTTATTCACAGAAGTGTGACAGATATGCTGTGCAAAAAATGGCTGAAATTCATAACATGAACATCTTTCCAAATTGTAGCACTTATTATAAAATGGTAGAGTGCAAGTCTCCACTTGCTGCAGAAAAAAATGAGACTGAAAACACATCATCATTGACGCTGACTGAAGCAATATGAAAACTTCAAATTATTTTTTCAAGCCTTCCTGTGACACAGAGAAAGCTCAATTTATTCCTGTGGACTTATACCTATGTAAAACATACCATCAAGTGGCAATTAAGAAAAGGTCATCTATGAAAAAGAATGCTAAGAAAGTTGCATGTACAGCTGAATAAAACTGTACATTAAAGGGGAATTAAAATAAGAACTGCATAACACATTACAAAAAAAAAAATATTTGAGCCATTCCTTATAAAAGTCGGTACAACCAAGTATACATACAGTCCCTGCCACCAGGAAAGAGAGAGTTAAAATGCCTTTCCTTTTCTTCCCTTTCCTTTTCTTCCCTCTCTAATGAACACCTGTTCAAAAGGAAGGACTATTAAAAGAGCCAGAAGAGTAACAGGAAGGGTAGCACATTTGGAGGAAGTCACTAAGATCCTTAGGCGGGCACAGAGGCTTGGGCTGATCTCCAGGAGAGAGAAATTCTGGTTTATTAGTTGCACTGTTTCCATTGATATTTATGGCCAGACCAAACTGTGGAGCAGACTTCACCATTTACTCCTCCACCACTCCTGTTAGTTATCCTGTGAGCTCACAGAATATTTTGGAACAGTCAAGGCAAGTGGTAAGAGACCAAACTACTGAGTTATAGCAGCAATATGTGAAGTGTCCACAGTTATTTCACATTGACCTCACCAGAAATTCAAATTAGTATGTTCTAAACAGCAAGGACACAATATAACTTCTTCTTAAGACTGCATCAACTTAATAATGAGCTGCTTTGGGAGAGGGGGCACTTTCACTATTTGAAAAGCAGACAGTGTTTCAGACCAAGAAATCAGAGTCTGAGCTCCAAATTTCTAAGTTTGTAAAATTTTACAAAGAAGCTTATCAGTATCTAACAATCTGGAAGATTTAGTACAATCTCTTTTAGCACTAAGTGCCTTAGTACTAAGAACAGCCAGAAAGGAAAAAGACAGACCACACCAACTTTATCTGACTGGTGTGAAGAAAGTGATTTTGCACCCTTACTGCCGTTATCATAGTGAGAAACGGCTATACTACAGATCTCCTAGGAGAATAGCAAAACATGAGAAATCCTCACAGCAAAGTTGTTAAAAGCTGCTTTTTGGAATAAAAGCTTGAGACTCGCTGAAAAAAAAATAAATAGGGTAAACATTTCTACCATTTCCTCAATAGTCTCATTTACAGTTGTGGGTTTAAAGCTATATCCATGGCAGTAAAATTAATTTTAGGGGGTCAGAGAGCAGTGGCACTCTGCAAATATTAACTAGCTCTTTTGCTGTCTGACAGTTTATCACCAGCCAGACAGTGCTCTACATCTTTGGAAGTTAAAGACGAAAACTTTCTACTTACTGTCACAAACAAAAGCGTTACTCAGTAATTTCTGTTCTTTTTGAGTCCAAATATACTGCACTGATTGTATACATAACAGAGTGTTTTAAGCAGCATGTGATTTTTAAAAAGTAAGACTTACCAATCCGCTTAAGGCTAAAATCCAGATGTAGGAACCAGAGGTTAAGAGCTAGAAGACAAGAGCAGTGATTTAAAATTTTAATTTTACAAAGCTGCTGTTGTCTGAACTAATATGTTGCAGTATTATATAGGCAATGTACTTGTCATGACAATGGGAGAGGTCAGACATTTATGTCTGTGAAATTCCAGTTTAACATTAAAAAAAGATGTATTCCAGAAGTAGCCCAAGTGGAAAAAACACAGGGATCCAACAATTGTTCTCCATCTACAGAACAATACATTTTATTTTCATATAGCATACTAAGTATAACAGGATGTCAGTTATAGGCTGCACAGAAAAACAAGTCTGAAAGATAGACTGAAGCAAAGGAAATGACTCAGCAGCAACAGGAGAAGAGTTCCAAGCAGGGCAGGCAGTGCAAGTGAAGCTCTCAGACATGCAGTCACGGAGAGACTAAGCATGAGCATCAAAATTAAAGAAATAAAGTTCTCACCCAGTGGCATATTTGTCGGCATGAAATCACAAAAGCAGGTTGGAGTGAATTTTTAAGGAAATCCTGACAAGCCAACAGGGCAGCCCATCATTTCTGGTAAAGTACATGATTAATCACCTGGAGAAGGTTATTACCAACTGGAAAAATGGGCTGAAAATTAGACTGATAGTGGTTACTAAAATAGTTCTGCACAGTGCCGACTGAATCATGAGAACACCTTCCCTCTAGACTTCTGACTACGGCAAGAGTGACTTGAGTTAAGGGCAGAGTTTACAAATGAGGAGAAGGCAAATGATTTCTCCCTCAGCCTCTGTGTGACGGCAGCAGCTGTTCTGTATGTGGCGGGGAAAGATGCAATGAAGATACAGTGATTAGTAACAGCAGCGATCTGTATCAGAGGTGGTGTGTGCATGAAAGCAAAAGGCAAAGGACACGACAGAAAAGAGCTCAGACAATATCTTGGCTTTCCCAAAGACCGGAGTAATAGTGATATTGATGGGTTCAGAAGAGAGGAAACAGGATGTCTGGAAGATCAAGAAAATAAGGTGCTGGAGCAGAAATTGAAGGAATCCAAAGGCTGAGCAGCAAAAGGGATGAATGAAATGTTCATGCGGAGCATGAGTTGATATTCTGAAACTGACCATTCATTCTAAAATACTCTCTACCACACTAAATGTAACTATGGTGCTTTCTGTTGTTAGTGCTAGAGCTGTTTTTGAGTCCCTGGAATATATAAAAATGAGTATACTTTCTCATAAATTTGCGCGTCTCCTGTTTCAGAATTCAGGTTGTGACATGAGTGTCCATTCATTTCTAGGTTGCTAGGGTTTTTTTGTTGTTTTTTTTAACAACTACTGCCTTTCTGTACCACGTAGCTATATTTTTCCACTCATATTTAACATAATACTACAGGATATTGCTATGCTCTATGTTACACTGTTTTAAACTACCTGTCATATGGAAATGCTTGATATACAAATAATATTAATTTATATAAAACTGGAATTCAGCCAAAACCTTGATTATTTACTGACAGTCTTACCACAGAAAAATGCTATATTCTATAGCTTTGTTTGAGCTCTAACAGACAAGGGGAAAATAAACAAAATCAAGAATATAAGTGAATTAAAAAGGTGAAAGATACATATGCCTTAGCACCAGGTTCTGTTTTCATTTCTTCTCTTCTAGTTTATTGTGTTGACAAAAAAAACCAAAACAACCAACCCTGTAGAACTGTCTATTATATTTTCCCGTGTAAGACAATCAAGACAGAAGACAACTGAAGAACACTTGCTCACCACTTCAGCACGTAGAAATGCATACGAGCAACACATGTTTTTCAATATTTTAGCTGATGGGACAGTCATTAGCTAAACATATGTGGAATCATACATGTGGAAACATCAAAATTCATAGACGAACATACAGAAATACTAACTGCTACATTAGTAATTCATTAAAAGGTGAACAAGCAAATACATACCATACCTGTAAACCCAGTATGTAGACCAGTGTCTTGTTTGTGATAGAAAAATGGCCTAACACTTGCGTCACCTGCACTCTTGGAATGGAGGAATAAAATGGTACAAACAGCGCAAACACAGGACCCAAGCTGCAAAAAGAAAGATACAGATGGTTAATAAGAATGATACTAGCAACAGTAGTGTAAAACAATCAAAACTAATTAATCCTAAATACATAACAATCCAAATGTAATAACACCTCGCAAACAAAAGTCTTCCTTGGGAACCAACGATTAGCAACTCACGACATTCAGGATAGTAGATTCATTAGCAAATAAGAAGAACAGGTGACAAAAGTATCTTATTTCAGTCTAATAGCAGAATGTTTCTATAAAATACAGCACACAAAAAGAACAAGAGAAGTCTCCTGCATCAGAACAAAACCTCTTTGATTCAAATGGACAAATGGTAAGGATTATACCCTTCCCAAAAGGTTATGGAAATCACTTCACTTATGAAGTTAAGCTCCTATTATTTACCCAGGCTTAAGCTGTTAGAGGATTGCCAACAGACTGCAGTATCTAAGATGGGAATAGTGACAGTTTGGTTTAATTTCTCTTTGCCGGTGACCTCCATGGCCCTACACATAACTAACTTCCCTTAGGATCCTCACCTTAATCACAGCACAAGCTGTTTATTAAGTTTCTAAACCCTCACTGGAAGCAGTTTCACAGAAGACTCAAGCACCTTTTACAATGACCACATACCTAGACTGAACTTGTGAATATAAACAAGTGTATTTCATTCATACGCCCAGATACAAAGCCTGTGTTCCTCATGATAAAACACCCAGAAAACTAAGCCATGTATCAAAGACAACAGGAGAGGCCACAGTAGAACCAATGCCAAAGGCATGGGTATGGCAGATTCTAGAAGAAAAATACTTCCTAGGATGGAGAAGGGGAAGAAAAAAAGGTCACTTCAGGTAGACACAACCTGCTCCGCTGGCAGAGCTGCGGTGGCGGTGACCTCCAGGCAGCAAAGTGCTCGTCTCCCCAGGCTGAATCCTTGCCCACGGTTCTGTGCTCTCTTGTGCCCGACAGGCGCGGGATGCTCCACAGGGTAATTTTTTACTGCTCTCCAGCTTATCAAAACTCTCAAGAGTTGCAGTTTCCACAGGCCTTTACATGAAAGGGATCTTATCATACTCAGTGCGCATTCTGCAAACAGCACAAACCAGGACCTAAATAACTTGAAGTGTTCACTCAAGAATACATCTCCCTTCTGGAGAAACTACTGATAAGAGTAATACTATGTGAAATGATGGTCTGAATATTAAAGCTTACATTTCCTGAATAACTGCCAAATGCTACACCTGCAGCTATGCAAAAAAACCCCTTCAAATATTATTTTTACTCATTTAACGGGCTGTGGCTTAAAAGCATTTCACTGTCATTCTGTTTATATGTTTGAAGTTCAGCTTGCTGAAAAGCTTCCTCTCCAAGGATTTAAATACAGTTTCGTTACAGAGCCATTTTTAGTACCATCCGTTTAACACACAGTCAGAGGCACTTGAAGTAGTGGTGGTGGTGGTGGTAGTAGTAGTAGTAGCAGTAGTAGTTGTTCAGGAACCACTGAAAAATGTTCAATTTTGTGTATAATGCTTCTTACATAAACAAAACGCACCTGTATAAATACTCACAACACATTCTTAAAATTAATTCAAATTATTTAAGTTGTAGGAGTCAACAGGCACAGCTGTAAGAGTGCCACATACAAAAATAATTCTTCATCAGACATGCTTCCATTGTAAACAATATTCACTAAACTAAATCAGGTTTTATAAGTGGAGAGAAGAAAAAAAAAGCAAAAAGATCTTTTCCCTTCTTAGAAAAGTAATATAAAATTATTTCTCTTACTAAATAACCTGATGGAGTACCAAAACTGTGGCATGCTTTTCAGGTTTTATTCCTCCTGTGATAAACAGTGACTCAGACACAGAGACTTCACATGTAAGAGTGCACTCAATCACAAGATGGGAAAGTACAAAAAGGAATTTCCCATGACTGCAAGTGCGTTTTGAAAAGAGATTAGAGCACGTTAAAAGGTTCCTTAAATGTTAATATTCACCATTAATGTCAACAGAGACCATAGAAGGCACCTCCCCAGCCCAGGGTAGCGATCTGTGCAATTCAAAGTCCAGTGTCTGACACTGCTCAGTACCTGGCAATCTGGAGGAGCCAGAGGAAAACTAGTGATGGACCTTTTCTCCTAAAGCAGTAAGTTCATAGGCACCACAGACATATGCCTCCAAAGACATCAGTTTTTGGTTTTTAGACAGAGTTCACATCTAATATGAATAAGGTATTACACAAATATCCATTCGAGTATCTTTTTTTAAAATGTCAAAACTAGTGCCCTTCAAAATATTCTGTAAAACTCATTTGTACAGGTGACTCCACTGTGTGAAAATTTATTCCAATTTATTTTAAACTTTTGCCCTCATTATAAAATTCTGTACTTCTACTTTGAAAATTTCAATTAATCTTTTCTGTTACCTTAAGAATTTTCTATACATTACTTATGCCTAGTTATAGAATATCTATATGGAGATGCTGCTTATCTACAGCGGTTCTGTCAGAGGAGTTATCTACATAACAATACTAGAATATGACAGACATAGTAAGGGATGAAAAAAGGATGGCTAAGGAACATGTGGACCCACTGCCTGGTGGAAAAAGGGACCTAGTGACAAAGGACAAGAAAAAAGCCCAGGTACTCGATGCCTTTTTGCCTCAGCTTTCACCAGTTTATTTTGCCCTCAGGCTTCCCATGTCCCTGAGCCTCCTGCAGGACTGCAGCAACACCTGCTGTAAAGGAAGAGAGCTAGGAAGCTCTTGAGCCTAACTGGCCATACAGGAATCAACAGGACCAGATGGGATGCACCTCAGGGCACTGAGGGAGATGGCCGATGTTATGATCACTGAAACACTGTGGTGACCAGGGCAGGTTCCGGAGGACTGGAAAAAATGCAAATGTCACATGCATCTTCAAGGAGGGCAAGAGGGTTCAGGTAGCTACAAGCCTCACCTCTGTCCCTGGGAAAGCTATACAGCAAATCTCCTAGAAGCCATTGCCAGCCACATGACAGACACGGCAATTTCTAATGTCCCATATGGATTTACTAAGGGTGACTCTGGTGCTGTGGACAAGGAAGGGGAAGGCAATGAATGTTCTTCGCTCTGAGTTTAGGATGGCCTTTCACTCACTTTCCTCTTGTGTCCCTGAAGAGAACCTGGGGAGATATGGACTGGATAAACAGGTTTGAAGGAAACTGGCTGCACTGCTTGGACACAAGGGGTTCTGACCAGCAGTACCAAGTCCAAGCGGCAGCCAGTTACTAGCAACTTCCCTCAGGGATCTACACTGGGGCCAATACTATTTATTGTCTTTATTAATGACCTGGATGATGGGACAGAGAGCACTCTCAGCAAGTTGGTGAATGACATCAAATTGAAGGGAGCAGTCAATACTTTGGAGAGCAGGGCCACATTCAGATATTCCTTGATGGGCTGGAGAAATGGGCTGACAGGAACCTTACGGAGTTCAACAGTAGCAACTGCAGGATCTTCCACCTGGGTTGGAATAACCCCATGTGACAGTATACACTGGCTAGAAAACAGATTTGCAGGTAAGGAGCTGGAGAATCCTTTGAATGTTAATCAGCAGTTCGCCCTTGCAGGAAAGGTCAATCGCATACGGGGCTGCATTATCAAGCACGTAGTCACCAGGCCAAGAGAAGTGATTGCTCAGCACTTCTGAGCCTCAAAGGGAATCATCTGTGTCCACTTTTTGGCTCATTGCTAGAGAATGGCATTGATATACTGGAGCGAGTCCAGCTGGGGATAACGATGGTCCAGTACCATATCAGGTTGCCCAGAGCTAGAATCTCCATCCTCAGAGATACAGCCTGGACACACAGACTTAAGTAACCTGCTCTTCTTGGATGTGCTTTGAACCCAGGGTTGAACTAGATGACTGCCAGAGGTCCTGTCAAACCTAAGCTACTCCATTATTCTGTGAATTATTCTGTGAATAACCAAAGCCTTGTTCCTGAAGCTCATTATCACTGGAAGTGATTTCTGTTCCTGTATTTCACTAGACAGGTACATCCATCCATCCATGTACTGTAAATAAAAGGACTGGTTCTCAACTCTTCCAATTATTACGTGGAAAACATACTCTTATTGAAAGACTACTTCAGTTGTCTCTTTTTCTCTTATTTTTGCTTTTTGCCTCATCCCTTTTCATCTCCTTTCCTCCACTTTCTCTCCTTTTCCAGAGACCTTTGTCCCAGCCCTTTGTTCATTATACTGTGAGAATATCAGGAACATCCATGGCACTTGAAAGTGCCATGATTAACTTCTACTAGAAACTTGAGATGTCTGTGTGCAAAGAGCCATAGACACAAATACATCCTGACTCTAAACTGAGTTTATGCCCACTTCATATTTCGGAAGTTAATTTCAGTCATGTGGGTTAGAAAACAAAATTTTCAAACAAACCAGAAAAGTCTAAAACCTGAAAGATTAAATTCTAGAGTTTGAACACTCTATATGGACACCATGTCTATCCCAAAGGTGTACTGTAATAGCAGGCTCCACAACAATTATATCCTCATTTTGAAGAGTATGTTAAATTTCAACATTTGCACTGAAAAAGAAACACAGCAGACCAGATGGGGACATTCTACATCATATGAAGTGATGAGACTGGTTTTGCACAGAGAACAAAAAACAACCTGAAGAACCAATAACCTTGAAAAAAAAAAAAGCAGAGATGTAAAAACTACTTGGCAGAGAAGAAAGAATCAGGGGCAAGTACTTCTTGTAAGAGAAACACGCTACTTAAAAGGGTGAATATTAAATGCAGATTAAAATAAAACATTTTAACAGTAGTAAATACATGCACAAAATACAGAAAATATGTATGAACAAATGGGCAGAAAGCTAAATGTTACTTCTGCAAAAATATCTGCTGTTGTTAATGGAAGTTCTGCTGGATTGAACTTGCAGAAATAGCCTGTTACTTTATTCAGAATGACTCACTACACCTACTAACTGTGGTGCTGTATTTTTCCTCATTTAAGTTCTTCATAAAAACATTAACCTGACAAATTCACAACCACATCATTTTGGGGGGACTAAAAATATCAGTTATAAAAGCAGCTGCAAATAATATAGAGCATGTAAACACTGTTTGAATTCAAGTTTCTAAGTTACTTCAGTGCTCTGCATCCCTATAGGCTGTCCAGAAGCTGCCGCATTATACTTAAGGTGCCAGCCTTTATTCTGAAAATGTTAAACATTCTCAATAACATTCCTTGAAATTAGGTCACTCCCTGGAATATGGCCACCCTTGATACTTGGGATCCTCTACCTGATGGAGCCCAGGACTCAAAGGAACCATCTATTGCACCCAACCTTTTCACTACACATCAGCAGGACACCCCAGTGCCTGAGGCCTCTTGATACCAGCAAAAGCTGGTACGTTATCCAGTGCTCCCATGTATCTAACTGCCAGTATTTCACATGAATGCAGGAAGAAAGTGGAAAAAAAAACCCAAGACATAACTTGAAGTTGTGCATCTTGAGGGGAAAAGAAAGGTTCCTCCTATCCACAGATATCTCAGCAGAATCACTGCAACTTTGGGTTCTTTAAAGTATGAGATCATCAACCAACCACTTTATAATCCCCTCATGAAGACAAGAGTCAGACACCCATGTCTCCTAAAAACATTGTAGTTTTTAATGCCAAGACCATCCAACAATTTTTTCCATAAATTGCTCAGCTCCATTGTAAACCAGTTTCAAGTTCCTTTCCTTTCCCATTGGTGAGCTAATCCAGACCTTTCCTCTTCTGCTGACTTGAATCTTTCTTCCAATTTCAGTTTTAATTTATTCATCATTAATAAGATGCTAACATATGCAACCATTACTCTTTAGCTTTTTCTAAAAAGATCAGTTCATCCTATCTCTCCTCCGCCTCTGTTGTGCAAAGCTGACTTACAGTACCTGACCATTTCTACTCTACCAGCCTGCTGCAATATGCAACATAAAATTTCTTTAGGCAATTTAGGCATTCACAGTAACTGTCCCCTCAGACAAGCAATTACTGCAGACCATCAAAGAATTATTCAGCTCATAGCACTATGAAGATAATTTTATTTTTTTTTAAATCAAGGCCCCTGTCCTTTATTTAATATATGATTAGCATGCTGCCATTCATGTGAAGGCCAAAGTATGGAGATACAGATGAACCTGATGGAGCGATACAGGTATGGCTGGCCAAATCCTGTGCCACAACTGAGTAGAGCATGAGAGGGACAACCGCTTGTCCTTTACTGCTAAGTTATTAATGTCAGCTAGGTGTTACAGAGTTAGTTACCCACGCTTACCCACTGACGTCTGCAGCAAGTGACTGATGGTGGCAGCTTACCAGGTAGCTTTGCCTTCATGACTGGTCATATCAACCAAACTAGAGTTTGAGTTCAGCAAGAGGGAGGAGCTCGCACCTTTCTAAAAGGCAGGGGCTCCCAGTGAATCCCATACTTGGCTAAGTCTGGCACAGACACTGGAGTTAGGCAGAAGATGCATGAAGGCACAAGGAAACGCTGAAGGGATTTAGATGGTGAAGTATTTTGTTGAGTAGGTACACTTCAACAGCGGTACTGAAATGTCTAGTGTCCCAGGTTCATCTAAGCTTGGATGCTTCATTTCTTCTTCATCTGGATTAACCTAACACATTTTATTTGGCCTCTGCAGTTACTGTGACTCACTGGTGAGTCACCATTTACTGTTCCTCTAACTCAAGTCACTTGAGAAATCATGTTTATCCACAAAAAAAGACAGGATTCAGCTACGGATTAGTTCTAAACACCTGACCTGTCTCCTAGAAAACAAAAGGAGTTAGTTTTGGAACGAAAGGAAGTTTTGCAGTTAAGAAACAGGCTGGCTGAATTCATTTTCCGGTTGATCCATAAACACTCTGTGTAATTCAGAAGCAATTTCTTACCTTGGGATAGTAGCTCTCTAGATATGGAATTGTAAAGCTAAATCTAGTACCATTTGTAAACTGCTCAAATAGAGTAGGGACTAATTAAGCAGACAAAACATAAATCATCACAGGCATCATAACATACCAGTGAAAATATTAACCACACTGCTTTGATGTCACCATCTCCAAAAGTAACAAATTAGTATATTAATTTTACTCTCCTTGCATGCCAGAAGCAAAACAGTAAGCTTTTGCACACAAATGGTAAAACCAAACACGTATCACGCTTTTTGATACATGCCATTTCTTGGATTAAATGTTCAAATCCTTGGACAGCCAAACAGATATTGGAGAAACAGCAGCTGTATAAGAACAGAAAACAAATAGCTAGAATGATAAACGGTGAGTGAAGGAATGCAACCCGTATCATTTAGCTCATGCAATTAACATCACATCATGCTGGATTGGTAGCTAATACATCAGCGTGACTCAAAGGGTACAATCTACTAATGTATCTTAATCAAAGGAAGGCAATATTTTATCAGATCAGAGCAGGAAACACGTATTAGCATTATTTTATAATGGTAAGAATATTTTAAAATAACATTTCCTTTAATATGAAGCTGTGGTACTAATGTCGGCCCTCGAGCAAAGACATGCCTGCGTATCTCAAAATTTCCCATTTCTGGTACATGTTTTTGCTGCTGGACAGGGAACCACATTGCGATATTACTTTGTGTACATATGAAGCAAGTTCCCTGTGCAATTTCCTTTTAAACAGCCTTTAATTCTCTACTCCATTTAAAGAGATTCTACTCTGTGATGAAACTGATTAATTAAAAAATAATTCAAAAACAAGAAAGGAAAAAATCCAGAATAAGACCAGTAATTTCTCTCAGAAAGACTTTCTGAATTGGGTGTTATAAGACAAGTGCCCCATAAAAACTGAGGAACTGAAAGCCCTTGACTGGGCCTTTCAGCTCCCTGGCATCTAAGGGGAATCAAACCATGTCTGCACTGGGAGTTCAGCACGAGAAAAATCAGTGTATAGGGCCAACTCCAAAAACATTTCCCATCAGACAAGGTACATTTAGTAAAGTTTAACTTTGTCATTAGATCTGCATTTACTTTAGGCTTTCTGATGAGATGCATGTGTTAGTCAAGATCCTATCTCTGCACACCTCCAACACTGCAACGTCAGCACACGCTTGTGTGGTGAACAAAGCCCAACTTTTCCAAAGAGGCATTCCACCCTCTGCATGGGCTGGACCCACCAAAAATAGCATCATCGTGCCTACTTGCTGCTTCTCTAAAATCAGGCCACTAAATGAGGCCACTTTAAAGATAAATAGTTCTTTGCAGTCATGAACGATAAGTATGAGGTTTTGGGGAAAATCCCAGGTAACTCTCAACCGCAGCCTCTAACAACAAATGACAGGATTTTCCATCTATCTCTGATCTCCAGAACCCTCTTAATGAACACACAATTTAACTCTTAGATCAACATTCTTTACCCAGAAACAAAGTTACTCCAGGTAACAACAGGCTACCTCACAATTTGACATCCCATTCCTTTCCTATTCCCTAGTCACCCATTCTTAGCAGTATCATTTTAAGGGAATCAGATTTGTGAATTAAAAGCTTTTTCTCTTTAATGTATTTGCCTTATGTGTGTATTATTATTTTTTTTTTTATTATTATTAACCTTGCTCAAAATGCAATAAACAGTTTACAAAGGCACACATCCTCATTAATCTCTCAAAACACCAGAGTTCAACTCCCTCACATATTTTCAAAGGGCATTTCTGTAAAGCCTCATCATTACGATACTTAAACAGTGCTGGGAATGTACACGGGCTGTCGAGATGTCTGTTTTTACACAGCATTTCAGTATGCCTCAGTTCTGAGGTTTTCTTGTGCTGTGTCAGATCTGATCAGTTAAGAAGCAGTTTTAAAGCGTGCACTGATCATACACTACAGCTCTTTGCTAGGAACTAAATTTAAGTTATTTTTAAATGCAAATGGCGTACGAACACTCAGGGGTTTTAGGTGGTCAACAATTAGTCAAGTAAACCTCTGGGTAAAGTCCCTTCTATGAAAGTCAGTAATGCGTAACTTCAGGGGGGAGGCGGGAGAGTTGTTTCCAATTACTCTCTTTGAACAGACTAATTGTAAAGGATTAAAAATAGATGCTTTCACATCCCATAAAAGAGTAGGAAGCAAATCAAGTCCAGCATACAAACACGGGTTTTTTTAAGCACTTGAAAAAACCTACCCCTCCCACCAAGACTCACGTAATCACTCTTGAAAATAATGTGCAAGGGCAAACTTTCGCAGTCAAGCCATCCTGCTAGTGCCCGTAACTGCTCAGAGGCTCCAACAAGCTACAGATATGTAAGTACAGAAAAGAATCAACTTCTAATTTTATTTTTTTTTTCACTGAACAACAGCAAACAATGCCAGAAAGATTATTTCTTTTTTGCATTATACTGAATATTTTCTTGTGGTAGGAAGCATAAATGATCTTTGGATGGGAGAGACAAGGCTCGTGGAAAAAATTCTGTGATATTTTATGTTCACATATTAGTATGCTGCCAGCTGATTTTTATTTAAAGGATTTGTTGACCCACAGCATCAACAAGTTATTTTAAGTCCTTTCTTATAATACAGCTTTTCGACAATCACAGGGAAACATTTGATACTGCATTAGCTTAGACAATTATTTTAGCAACAGTAATTTAAATTATACCAATGTGGAAATATCTACTGTACAAGTGGTAAGGGAAGCATTGCAGTTCTTAAGGCATTTACTGAACCTCGCAGAATACTTTAATAGTAGGAGAGAGCCTTAAAAGAAATCCATACTATGGTTGTGAATGCACAGCTTGCTCTATCACACGTACTCCTTGCCTATGAAACAGCTTTTATTATCAGCTTAAGACACTCAGTCACTCTTCTCACATCTAAATATTGCAACAGAATATTTTAAGAATTCAAAGTTTTATGAGCTAATTCCTCTTTTACCTTCTGACACGCATTTCTTTCAAAGTTTTTAGAGGGAATTCTTTTTCTCAATTGCAATCACCAAACACCTTATTACTGATCTTCATGCCACAAAGCTAAAGAAATATTACAAGCGATAGGATTTTTATACATCTTCCCAATTAAAAAGGATCCATTTTTTCCTCTTATACTGGCAAAACAATATAGACTGCTTAACAGACAGTAACTCAACTATCATTTACCTTAAAAAATAGAGATGGCATGCATGGCTTTGAGCACAGTGTACAAGAGGTCTAACATTTTCATGGCTCCTCCTGAAGAGACGGGGGAGTTAAAAATGTACCTGGCAGTTAGTCCTTAAGAGGTCAAATCTCATCCCTTTCTATTCAAAAGATTGAGGAGTATGTATACATGTAATGAATAATAAATTTAAGCTAGAGTTCTGAAGTTGTAATTCCTAAAATGAAAGACTATACCTGCACAGGTTCTATTATCACCCAGAAAAAAAAAAAATCATATAAAAGGTGAGCATGTTTTCTAGTACTAAAATACAAATTTTTATTTGACTCCTTTTTTCTTCTGCTTGTAGGAATGTAATTGTCAGTGGCTCAGGTTTTTATTTTGTTTATTGGCTATGTTTTAGGGTCTCTCCTTTTTATATTTAGTATAGTTAGGCAAGTAAACTAAAGGGAGGTTAATCATCTCAGCATCAGCACGGCTCCTCACACTAATGTGCGTGTTTGGCAGAGATGATTTATGTTAGATAGTTCTCACAGTTTTTATAGGACAGATCACATTTGGAAAGAGAGATGCAACAGATAAAAGGGAGACATGTAGACTTCAAATGACTTCCACTTTTTCTTTAACTAGTTATGCAGCATTTCAACTCAACTTCTTTATTTCCATTTTGTTTACTCACTTCTATTATTTTTGAGCACCAAGTATGACTGCCATAAAACTTTGCAAAATCTATCGTAATAGATAAAAGCGGGACCAAAAAGGTCTCTCAGTGTATGCATTTGCAAATTTTGTTAAGCACTTCAAAGAATATAATAATTCTTCATAGCCATTTCATTCGTGAAATGCATACTTGGGATTCTCTGATGTGTGACTTACGAATTTGGCTTTAGTACGCCAACAAATCTGGGTCTATACAAAATAAAATGAAAGCATTAGCCTGGAAACTATCTCACCAAAATTAGCTGTGGGTTGTGACCTAAGGATTCAGTCTTCGGGTCATTAGGCCTACTCAGTGCCATTTAGGACACAAACCCACAAAACTCAACACCTTTTGAAAAAAGGTAAATGAACATAATGCACTAGAAGTGTATGAGTGTTAAAGTATTGGAAAGAAACAGGAAGCTTTAGGACACGCCTGTCTCTTGCCTCAGCTTTTATTAAACCACATGTAGTTCCCAAGCTGCCAATACACACACCTAGATATACGTGCCTTAGGTATATGTCCTTTCTACATTAACAAAGTGTTCTACTGTGCAACTTAGCATGCACACTTTTTAACATACATAATTTAGTTGCATCAAGCCTTTTTCTCAGAGAAAACACTGTACAATGAAGATCACTTGTATGGTAAATTAGAAATTCAAACAGTAAATATGACTGGTCAACATAAACCAAATAATTTTAGAGATTAAGGAAAAAATTAAACCTACATAACCACAGCACTGCTTATTTTCCATCTTCTACTGCTTTTAAACATCCAAGACTTACACAGCTTACACCTATGGAGGACTGTAAGCTCAGTACATCCTCCGGTCAGGCACTGCAGGGAACAAGAAGTCTCTTTCCCAACCATTCCTTTGAAATCATTTACACTCTTTATGCATACATAAACAACATTATTCCCCAATACTGCTTGTTGAAGAAATATTGTCTGTCTCAAAGTGACTAAACCATACTATGTATAGAGCGAAGAGAGATCTTTCTAATTATTTGCTGTGCCTTTCCAAGAATTTAATTAGTATCCCTCTTAAATTAGCTACTGGACAGATGGACCAGGGATTCATCTCCAAAGAATGAAAATTATGAAGAGACAGACAAATCACACATTAGATTACAATACACAGTTAAAGCCTTCTACATGTTCCCTGTTCTGCTGAAAAGACAGATGGTGCTCCTTCAGCAAAGCAGGAGATGAGAACAAGGAGAAAACTCACTTGGCATACAGAGATAGCTTTGTATCGCTGCTTGCGCATAATCCAAACCCATGTAATCTAAGGTTGCAACACTGCAGTTGCTGGCTCATAGCTTAAGTCTATTCTTGTTAATAGTTAAATGTATGGAACATTACAATATGACATATAAAGCTCATCATACATGAACATCTCTATGAACCAGGGCTTTAGAATACGTAGTACTTCCAGACTGGAGCCACCACTCTGTTCATCAAACACCCTTCGCAGTGGGGACTCCACTCTAAGCTGGGCTCTTGCATACTGCAGCATAAATGTCAAACAAATGAATAATGCCAATGTCAGAAAGCAAAGACAAAGCTAAGACTTGAAAATGGCAAGTGAGAGAACAATAAAGAACAACCTGCACTGGTTGCAAGCCTGGGCATAACATTAAAATTAATTTTAAACTCTCCCAAGCATAAGGTCCTCCCAGGTAGAAGCAGAAAGCAATGGCCATGTCCTTAGACTGGAGATATCCTAGGATGCAGTGAATCTGAGAAGTACTCTGGGGTTACAGTGAACTAACTTCACAAGCTCCCACACAATGCCACACAACTCTCTCTCGGATACCTAATCGATTGAGCAGAAAAAGCAGGGATGTAGTGGTGCGTATGCTTCCAGGCACACTGATACTGAGGCATCTGGAACCCCATCACCTGTGTGGGACACAGCTGGGGTTAGAACAGACGTCACAGGACTGTTTTGCCTTGTGGTGAGACTTTTAAGAAGTTCACCTTGAATTGCCAAGGCCATGAGATTGTATGAAGGGGATACATACAGTATCTTGAGAGGGTTTGTGGTTTTTTTTAAATGAAATATATGCAGGTAATATAGCACCTAGACACCGTGGTGACTGCTCAAAAATGTCCATATATACCTACATACAGAGAAAATACTAATACTCATCTAGAGCATTATAAAATGTGCACCCTACATTAACAGTCAAAATATTTTGGGGATAACAGGACCAAAAAGAACACTTTCCCCACCCAGGGCTGACTCCCACAGCAGACAGAAGAGCCTGCTGACATCCTCTGTCAAGGAGTATGGTTTAGCTGACGTGCACGCTGCCCTGGAAGGCCCATGAGCTGTGGCCCTCCAGCTTTCTTCTCATCTGCTCTGTGGCCAGTTTGTCCTGCCATGGAGCTGCTCCTGAGGCATACCCATGCTAGAGCATCATGGATAGACACAAACCCTCTCACAGCCGGGGCTCCTTCTCAATATAGCCATGGCTTTATGCAAGGGTAAACATGCTATTTTGAGCAATAATGAGTTCTAGATGAATCTATTACATTAAAGATCTGACTTCATAGCACAAAACTAGGTAACATGCATTTTATGAAATTCTACTCTTGATAAAAAAAAAAACCCAAATATTTCATTGATATTATGTAATTTTCCCTAAACCATAGTTAAACCTCTTTGTATAATAGATAAGTGTACATTTACAAACATTTATAGAAAGACAAATGAATGGATGTGACAATTATGCACATTATTTATGAACCAAAACTATTACAACTTTACAGTGAAAATAAGATTATGCAGTTAATATGCTGTAGGTAGTTACTGCAACAGAACCGTTTATCATAAAATGTCAGATTATTCTTCCTTACATATGCTTAAGAAATTATTTTACCTAAATTTCAAAGAAGAGATGAGTAGAAGATAGATGTCATGCTGGGAGTGTGAACAAGGAGTCAGAAGCATTTAAAAAGAGAAACAAAATAAAATACCTCACTGACTCTTAACCAGGTGCCCACACAAACCCACACCATTTTCTGCAAAAGGCTGTTACACCTACGTAAAACAAGAGTCATCCTACACGCTTCTATAAGGGAAAAGATGAAACAGGAGGAAAGTACACCAGAACTATCCTCAGAGTGATAACTACTGTTTTAATCAATCATCAAACACACTAACACCAAGGTACTGTGAATGATGTGGAATTAACTAATACAGGATTAGAGACATTCTTAAATCTGCACTGCAGCTGGAGTTGCTATTTACCAGTTTAAGTCCCTTACTCAAACCACAAAACTCCCACTTTGATTTGACTTCCAACCCTGAATGCAGCATTCCCACCTCTTGACACGTGGTACATCCTTCACAGGTATCCAAGCATCGTACATCCATCAGTCAGAAATCACTCACCTTCTTTCCTACTGCCTGTGCAACACCGCAAAGATAGACTTAATATACTATCTGGATGCTTAATTTCTTCCTTAAACATATGTAATATGTCTCACTCATGTACTTTAATACACTACCCGCAGGTAGTGTATTAGAGAACCTTATGCACCCGCTGCTAACCTAGCCAGAAGTCTGACCAGACCCGCTTATAACACAGTATGTGTTGCAGGTACATCGACTGTGAACAACCTGAAATAAGTAGGACAATCTCCTCAAAACATGAAAGAAGATACTAACCTTTTAATGCTTTCACAAGTTAATAAATGGATAATGAATAGTTTCTAAAATGTGTCGCTTAAAATCCTTAAAACAGAGAGGTATTTTCCTGAGAGACTTTTTTGTGGCACAACAGGCTACAGTTGCTTGTAAATACTGTGTGTTGAAAGGCAGATCCTCAGAAATAGCCTAGACATTTTAATTAAAGGTATGAGATGGACTTAAAATTCAGGTTACAACAGCTTTTATCTCTAGATAGTATTCTGCATTAAAGCAGAAGCAATCTTGTTTTGACTGCTGTTTTAATTCATAAGAGGCACCACTTTGCAGAACAGCTGCTCGAGGAGTAACGTGAGGTGCCCCATCCCTTCTGACATTTATATTTACAATATGCAACTGTCAGGTAACAACACACCTAAGAAATATTTTGCACTGGAAGCAGTATCAACAGGATGGGGTCCTTTCTGTTTCTGAAATGCTGATGGATCTTTTTTTATATTTTTAAGTCCCCCAAATCACTGCCACTTTGCAGCTCTTCCATACTACTTCTGACTGTGCAGGTTAAACGATTTCTAAAATCTACTAAATTGACAACATGTAAGATACTTCAGCTGGGTTATCTCTCTTTTGCAGCACCACTAGAGAGTTACTAAAGTAGTAGCCTTAAGAATTTATGTATGTAACAATATTTGAATTAGATTCCAAAAACCAATTCTTAAAACTAGTATTAAGCAAGCTGAATTATTCTAACACCAATATGGTAAGAACACTGAAAAAATTTAGTTTCTCTAAAGAAGTTAAACCATCACAACGTGAACTGTTAGAAATAACAACTCCCTAAAAATTAACTGAACTGAAACACAAATTTTAAAAGATTTTGTCTGCTTGTCTGACCCTTGGGGACTTCATATGGTCCTTTATCCTGTGGTTTCTTCAGACTCCTTCTTCCCCTCAGATTGCTTTAAACAGTCTCCCACCTCCTGACCATCTATGTCCTTCACTTTCCAAATACATTACATCCCTGGTTTATTATTTTGCCCCTTGTCTGATTTTTTTCAGGAGACAAGGAATTGGGATCAAAAGAGAAAAGCCCAAAAGAGCCAGCTGTTTGTTTGTTTGTTTTCAGAAGGAGGCCTGAAAAGTATTTCACCATAAAGAAGTTTCATTTCGTTTTTTGACAATCTTGCTTTATGCAACAGAGGTTGGCCCTTGTTACGCAGAAGAAGTTTATCTACATTTATTACAAAATGTTCCCTTTCGTTTGTTTTTTTTTTTTTTTCCCACATTAGGTCTACTGAGCTTCCTGCAACAACAGTGGTTACAGAAATGGACACTTTCACAGCTTCTCAGATAAACAGTTCCACCTGCGACTTGTATGAGCACAAAGATACAGCACGGATACTACTGTCTGTCTTCTACAGCTCCATCTTAATTCTTGGGGTGCTTGGGAACACCATTGCCCTCACTGTCATTTTTAAAAACAGAAAGAAGATCAACTCCACTACCCTCTATTCAACAAATCTCGTCTTCTCCGATCTCCTGTTCTGTATCGCCTTGCCCACAAGGATAGCCTACTACGCCCTGGGGTTTCACTGGCCATTTGGAGAAGCATTATGTCGAATAACCGCTCTCTTGTTCTATATCAACACCTACGCAGGTGTAAACTTCATGACATGTTTGAGCATCGACAGGTTTTTCGCTGTTGTCCACCCCTTCCGATACAAGATCAGAAGGATTAAATATGCCAAAGGCATTTGTGTCTTTATCTGGTTTCTTGTATTTAGTCAAACTTTCCCATTACTTATACAACCCATGTCACATGAAGAAAAAGAAAGGACTACATGTATGGAATATCCAAACTTTGAAAAAATACCACATCTTCCACTTATACTTCTTGCTGCCTGTTTAGTAGGGTACCTTATTCCCCTGGGGATTATACTATTTTGTTACTCTCAAATTAGCTGCAAACTTTTTCAAACAGCCAAGGAAAATCCACTGACTGAAAAATCGGGGATAAACAAAAAAGCCATCAATACAATCATATTTGTAATTATAGTGTTCGTCATCTGCTTTACCCCTTATCATGTTGCAATCATACAACACATGATTAAGAAGCTTCAGAATGAACCCTCCTGCACTGAAAAGAAAATTTTCCAGAAGTCGCTCCATTATACCGTGTTTCTGATGAATTTTAACTGCTGCCTGGATCCTTTCATCTATTTCTTTGCATGCAAAGGATACAAGAGAACTGTAATGAAAATACTGAGGCGACAAGTGAGTGTTTCAATTTCAAGTGCTGTCAGGTCACATCACGATGAAAGCTCACGCGATGTGGGAGAAACGCAAATGATAGCACTTGGAAAATCTTCCAATGGAAATCTACCTGAAAAATAAAGTCTGTAGTAGACTGCAGTGCAGCAAGCTTAAGAATCCAGGGTCCACAGTAAAAACTCTTAGGGGTCCCCATACAGCAGCTTAAGTAAGATTCTGTTTCTCAGGATGTCAAGAAATCAAAGAGTGATGATGGACTGAAAAAGAATTGTCACAGGACAGCAGGAAAACTCAGCATTATAATTTCCTAGCTGTGCCATTTTGACTGATGTCATTATTTTTTCCAGGAAATATGCACCATTGTGAATGTTCAAACTCCATACTGCACATATGTGTGCCTGGATGTTACTAACTCAAGCAAAGACTCAATTCACAGTTTGGGTGCCTGAGAAAGGACTAAGCACAAATAGCTTACAATTCAGACTGACTACAACCAGACCATGTGAAAATTGCAAGACCTCTTGCCGAGCTCCAGTTACAGCAATGGTTTTGTTAGCCAAGTCACACAAGCAGAGCCATCACACTTTGAGATAAAATGGACAATTTCTGTGCACGTTTGCCTATCACAAGTGCTTAGTTTATAGCCCTTTGGAAGGGAAACTGCATTGGTATTTGGAGCAGGAATGTCTTATCGGACAATTTACATAGGTGACGTTGTCAAATGTAATAGATGAAAAGTTAATCAACTGCTTGGTTCTCCCCAACACTGAATATCTCCAGTATGTTACATCACTCATTTTGCAAGGTGTAATATCTCTTTACTCCTTTTCCTAAAGGAGAACTTCTCTTTCTAGTGTGTATTGTAAAAAGTCTCTACTCTAATTGTATATAAATTATTTATAAACACAAAAATAAGTGGAAGCAAGAGACTGTAATAGGAAAACTGCACTGTTTTAGTTAAAAGAGCAGTGAAACGGGGTTCTTCAGAACTTCTGCTCAAGTCAGACAAGGACACAAGACAGATGTTTTAGAAATAGGAATAAGTGTTCACAACTGAAGTCACCAAAAAGTAATTTAATGGGTTAATTGCGATGGTGTGAGATGGCCACCTCTTTTTAAGCGCTGTTTACCTGAGAGATCAATAAATGAGAACAGCAGGACTGGCTGGGAAATAACAAACTTTGCCATCACGCCTTCATACAGAGTATCTGGGATCCCTTTGGGCACACTGAAATTGGGCCAGCAAATAGACCAAATGACTTAAACACATCCTGCAAGAATCGGCTCAATACCAGTTGAGTATCCAGGATGCAAGCCCTGGGTTCCTGCTGTCGTGCCCTTCCGTCGTGTGTCAGTTTCCTTCCCTACTTTATTCCTGGCCCCCGTGTCTTTTCCTTTGTCTTCTGTCTTATTAATATGCCTTCACCTGCCAACACAACTTGGTAATTGCACCGTGAGTTTGTGATGGAAAAGGAAAATTAAAGAGTGCCTGATAATTACTGGTAAAAGCTATGCCAGATGTCAGAATAAATGTTATTTATTGCAACTGTATCTCTTCAGCACTCAGGTTGTACTGGAAGTCAAGCAAACATAGTTACATTTGTCATCTTTGCAACTCCTTCCTTCCTCACGTGTTGACCTCGTCTACGTGCAAACATGGAAGGGTCATATCCAAACAGCAGTACGGAAACATTAAATTAACAATTACTTTCTTATGGGAAAGAAAATGCAAAAGACCCTATATTTCGTACCACATAGAGTGTCCAAATTAAGTTTCTAATTACAAAAGACACTATGCAACTACAGGAAAATGGAGTAAGAAAAATTTTTAATAGGAGTTGCTCTACTTAGTTCTGTATGCTATAACAGTTCTGTTCTTGTCAGCATTTTTAATAAACTATTTTAAAATTTTATTTAAGAATTTGTTCCTACTGGAGTAAGCAAATGACAACTTGATTAAATCACAGACAGACCACTCATGAATACCTACAAGCTATAGAAATAATATACATATATTATTATTAACATCACACCAGTACAAGCTCATTTTATTCTACTAATGTCTGTTTTTTTTATTTTTGGTATACGTTTCATCTAACTATGATTACAAAATCTTAAAGGCAAGAAGTCTTCTTTACATTGTCTCTAAAATATAACTCAAGTATGTATTACAGCCCCACATCACACAGATATCCTCTTCTAAGTGGAAACAAAGTGAAGATCTGTAAAGATCTGTATCGAAAATCTTTCTCTATTCCCATTTTCTCACGTTAGCAATTCTGTTATTTTCAAATTTAGACTTTGTTTCTAAATCACATCAACATTCTCAAACAGCTAACTTTACATCAAAATACCGCTTTTGCTCTAATAAGCCTTAGAGCGTTGGTCCAGTGAGATACGGGTTTGAGAAGAGCTACTTTTTTCTCCTTTATTTTAGTACCTCTCAAATACTGAAGAAACCAATAAAATAAAAACCTTTAAAAGCTAAGATAAGCTCAGCTTCCTGACAAGAGTCCTAAAGCCACAGACACACAGATAGATAGTGATAATTTATAGCTGCGGCAGCTGATGCCACTTGTCAGCATGCGCTCACAGCTCACGCACACTTGTGTCAACGAGGAGCCTCTTTTCTGTGTGCTTATCTGAAACCACCAAAAGTAGCGGTGGTGGTTTCAGTTGGCCTAGGACACTGTATTCAAGTCTCTTAGAGAGCATCTGTCCTGTTTCTTCTACCAGCTGTGCTGTGGGGCTGGTAGCCATCACCAGAGAGATGCCGCTGCAGGGGAACAAGTGAGAGCGGTAGCACTGAAAACTTACAGCTGCTCTCAAACAACTGGTTTTCTTCAAGATGTCCTTCTCCATTCATCCTGCTGGTACCACTTACCTATAGGGGCACACCTCAGGTCCCTCTCCTCCTGCATGCTGCCCAGACACAAATAAAGGGGATAAAGCCATACCTGGTATCTCTTTTCCTCTCCAACACTGAGTATATAACATATGTGTCTGTCTTAAAAGACATGAGCACGCCATGCCACACAAAATGTGGCTGAAGCAGTATGAGCTTTGCAAAAGCAAACGAGCTTTTGCTTTGGCAAAAGCTTTTGATACATTCTAGGAAATGCCCCCTTCTACGTGAAAGGCTGGGAAGTGGTCATACAGATCTGGAGCTCACTCACCCTTATCACATATAAATAAGCAGCTGACGAGTAGCAGCAGCATGGCTTGCTCATTATGAGGATCTGACTGAACTTCTTTGGAGAAACTTGGTCTCTATTTGGAGGGTGAAGTCCAGTCAGGATCTTAAAAACCATGTTCGTGACAAAATCATAGAACATCTTTTAACTCTACACTCTGGAGTGTAGGACTAGGGCAGTTGCTAAGAGGACTCCAACTAGACTACGTGTCCACTGCCGACATCTCTCTCAATCTTATCTGGTAGGGAACATGACAGAGCACATAGAAATAAAAATGATGACGGAGGTCAAATGGTTCATTTTGGCTGTCTCTGCCCCAGTCCAGAATAGAAAGTTGTATAGACACCTGTTGTTGAACACATGACCAAGGGGAGGTGCGTCATGTGAAAAATCCCAAACCAGACATGCATTTTCAGTAAAAGAGCATTTAGTGCCTTCGCTTTTTCTTGAGCTGAGAATGCAAATCGAAGGACTACTACTGCAAGTGTTCAGATGAGTTCCCTCAGCCAGCTTGGGCTAGAAGATGCTGAAGCCTAACTGAAAGCGTGGAGATAAAGAACACCATCTCCTGTGGCTTACAGTCCCAGCAGAAGGGGACAGGTATTCCCCAAGGCATCACTGCCTGACTCTTTTAGCTGTGGCCTTGAAAGCTATGCAGATGAGGAACCCATTAGCAACATGTACATCTCCTAGCAAAAGACAGTAACAGCAACTGTCTGAAGAGGTAAACATCTTACCAAAATAAGATGATTCTTGAAGGTGGTTAATGACTCCTCTTAAACCAGCAAGCTCATTACTATAAAGAAAAAAATGGAGGGGTTTGTGTTTTGGGGTTTTTTTGAACAGATGTTGCATTAAAGACTAACACTGTTCTGAAACTCAAAAGCTTTCAGGTAATCAAGGAATGAATAGATTCCAAGAAAACAATGAGACAGCCTGAAACACAAGAAAAATAAATAGGGTGCAGCTGAAGAGATGGAGAACCTTTGCCTTCCATGACCAGTTTTGGAGGAACTGAAAAGCAGCGACATACTCTTTCTCTTCTATCTCCACGTCTGTGGTACAGAGCAGGGGAAGAACTCAAGACAAACTAAGGTTTGTATCTTAGCAGCATCCCACTGTCCTGGCTCAATACAGACAAGGTTGATGGGCACCAAGAATCACTAGAAAAACACCGAATTGATCCGAGTGAAATATTTCCCAACACAGTCTTGGCTAAGCTGAAGACTAAGGCTATGGTACAAAATGAACTCAGGCAAGCTGCAACCCTTATCTGAAGAAAAACAGGGGAATTGCTGTTCGTGTAGTAAATGCTCAGACATATTTCCTCATTTTTTCTCCCCCTCAGAATACCCTCTTGGCTTCCTGCAATGTCTAACCTCGGACTTCCTGAGGCAGATGTCTCATCTTTGCATATGACAGTCCTCAATCATTTATTCTTCCATCAGCCTGTCTGGTCCCTTTTGGAACTCAAATAAAATGTCTGTGCTTGCAGCATCTTGCAACAAGAAGTCCCACAGTCTAACTACCTGTGATGCGTGGAGCACCATGCACCACGGGTGCGTGTCTTTTGTTTGTGACACCTGCTAGTTTCATTTGAAGTCCCCTGGCTCTTGTACTAGAAATGAGTGAACACAGCAACTCCCTATTTACCCCGTCCATACTACTCATGATTTTACAGACCTGCATCAAATCTGCTTCCCTCAAGTCATCTAGTCTCTTCTCCTGTGAACAGCCAGATCACAACTGTTCACCACTTCATCCAAATTACAGAGGAAGGCAAGTGCAAAGAAAGAATGGAAAACCAACTGTGTTCAAGCTGGGCAGCAGTAGAGTATCTCTATACACAGGGAGATCAACAGGGTACTAATCTACTTTTCCTACCACAGTAGCATACACAGTAAATCTCAAAACTGGGATCTTGCCCCATGACTGCCAAATTTGGATAACCTTGCCCAGATGCATTAAATAAAGAAGAACTGGACCTCAATGGCCTGGAAAAATGGGCTCACAGGAACCTCATGAAGTTCAGCAAAGTCAAATGTGAAGTCCTGCATCTGAGATGGAATAAACCCACACAACTGTGCATTGCCTGGTTAGAAAGCGGCTTGGCAAAAAAGGTCTGGGCTCCTGGTGGACTACAAGTTCAAGAGGAGTCAGTAGTGTGACCTCATGGCCAAACACGTATGGGACCATGTTAGAAAGAACATTGAGGGAAACAATCTTTCCCATCCATTCAGTACTTGTGAGATCATACCTGGAGTCCTGTACCCAGTTTTGGGCTTCCCAATACAAAAAAAGATACTGACATCCTGGAAACAAGTCCAGCAGAAGGCCACCAAAACCAATAAAGGGGCTGCATGCAGCACATGCTACCGGAGGAGAGAGCGAGGGAGCTGAGATGGTTCATCCTGGAGAGGAAAGACTGAGAGATGTTATCGCTGTCTTCAACCGCTTAATGGGGAGGGGTACAGAAAAGATGGCAACACACAGTAAGAAGCACAAGTTGCAGCAAGGAACAACTAAACATTAGGAGGCATTCTTGCACCATGAGGTTAGTCAGACACTGGGGAAGGTTGCACAGAAAGGCTGTGAAATCTCTATCCTTGGAGATTCTCAAAACTTGACTGCACACAGCCCTGATTAAATTGGTACTACAAGACGATATTCAGAGGCTCCTTTCAACCTGCATCCTTCTACAACTAACCACTTTGGTCAAAACTTTGATTAAGTTAAACAGGAAACTCAATGGCCTTGCAGTAAAACTAGCAAATGATATAACCTTAAAATCTTCTAGTGTTGTTCTCTATTTAAGCCCTTATCAAAATGCTGTCATTAGCATCTTCCAAAAATAAAGAAAGGTCAAGACACAGCATAGATTTCTTTCCAAAAAGCTGCATTCATTTTTCCTCAGTGCAAAAATATGAGTTTCTCCTCTTCCTCTTTTCTTTTCCTCACTTGTGACAGATGTTGTGCAAAGGGCTAATTTAAAAAAGCCAGTTTTGCACCTGTTCTGAAGGCAGCAACATTTGTGGTTATCCTAGCCCCTCCAGAAAAGTATACATTGTCTTATACCATGCACAAGGAGAGCTATGTTCCTCCCTCTAATAAGCTAGACTTAGCAGTTTCATCCTTCCTGTAGCATGTAACTTTCGAGGGAAGTTGTGGTTAGTTAGCAGAATGCGCTCTGAGGCAGCTTACTTTAAATATAGAGATGCTGAAAACAGATTATTCTCAACTTAATAGTTGACAGAGCATTGTCCTGAGTTGGATGGGAAGAGATGAAGCACCCCTGCCAGCTGCATGGGTGAGGCATTTTTGACAAAAAGAGACAACTGAAGAC